GAAAAGCATTACGAGTTCTTGTCCAAATGCTTTGAATTTATACATGCACTCAACATGAATGGCCTAAGGCAGATATCAGAAATACGTGGCATCTATGTGATCACTACCCACTTCAAAAATTAGTGCACATAACTGATCATACCCCTATTTCCTGATGAGCTGAACTCAGTCTCAGTGCCCTTTATCAAACACAGCCACTATAAACTGAACTCTTTGCTGTCCACATTCTAGAATTAAAATATCTTATTCAAAGCCTCAAAGGTTTGTTTCTTTCCTTATTACATTGTGACTGACTTTTCTGTCAATTTCAAACCTTTGTTTTCATTTGGTAATTTTTTTTTTTTTAAAGAATGACCTTTTATGGCATCTTGTAAAATTCCCCACAGCACTGAAACACTTGTAAATATACATTAGGGACTCAATAAATATTTGTGTTTTGAATAGCCTAATATAAATATAAGACAGCTATCACGTAGCAACAGAGGGGACTCGGTCTCTGGACTATCGCTGAGAGCCCTGGGTGCCTGTTCCCTCCAGATACTCATGGAGGTAACCATGCACCAACTGGCCTCAACAAATTAAGTGCTGGGAAACCAGTCAAGAAGAAATGTGGAAGTTCCAGTTCCTTTGGCGTTGTAAGTTTCCAAAATATGAGGAAATGTGACAAATGCCTATGGCTTTCAAAAGATAATATACTCTGATTTAATGACTAATAGAGCAATGTCCACTGAGCAGTTCATGGACAGGGTCTCTCCCAAGTCAGATCCTGTTGGCAAATGACCAAAGAAGCCTTCTCTCCTGATCCAGCTAGCCACTCCTATGGCCAGGAAGCACTTTGCCATCAACTCAGCATTATAAAAGTGAGCAATTAGAAGTACCATTTGCTCATCTAAGAATTCCACTGAATATTCCAAAATTTGTGTTGGAAACACACTGGGACCTTGACTTGATTTCAGAAGAAATGGGTATTTACAAACTTTTAATGTTTATTTTTGAGAATGAGAAACAGAGCGCAACAGGGGGGAGGGGCAGACAGAGAGAGGGAGACACAGAATTTGAAGCAGGCTTCAGGCTCTGAGCTGTCAGCACAGAGCCGAATGTGGGGCTCAAACCCACAGGCAGCGAGGTCATGACCTGAGCTGAAGTTGGATGCTTAACCAATTGAGGCACCCAGGCACCTCCAGTGGAAACTTTCTTAAATATTAAATAGAAATGTAAAGATAAAAATAATGCCTTAAGCGTTTTGTTAAAAAGAGAAACTAAGATTTTTAATTGTTCTAGTTTCTTTAGCAATATAATGGAACGACACTGCCCTAAGGCTAACTTGAAGGTAAATACAATGTCATCACATGAATTCCCCTAAAAACTAGTCTGCATCCTAAAATACACTGATGAACCTGCTTTGAAATTTTGAGGGTTTCCAAAGTAATTAACACTTTACTAATACTTATTTAAAATTTTTAGATTTTTAAAAATGTTTGTTTTTGAGAGAGCGAGAGCCAGCATGAGCTGCGGGGGGGGGGGGGGGGGGGGGGGGGGAGGGGGGGACAGAAGATATGAAATGGGTTCTGCACTGTCAGCAGACAGCCTGATGTGGGGTTTGAACTCCTAAACCACAAGATCATTGGCCTGAGCCAAAGTCTGATGCTCAACTGACTGAGCCACCTAGGTGGCCCAGTAATTCATACCTGAATACCTACCTATTCTTATATGATGCTTTTCTGATTCTAATAAGATTTTCAGCTTATACCTATACCTATGTGATGCTTTTCTGATTCTAGTAAATAAGATTTTCAGCTAAAAATGACAGTTCAAATTCAAAGGTTCCAATTACTTTTTAAATGCTGGCAAATGAGAACATACTTAGTCTAAGTTTATAGTCATTCATTTGTTCATTCAACATATACTGAGCACCTGCTCTGTGCCCGTAACTCCGTTAGCTGTTGGGGGCTAGAGCAAAACAGGACAAATGCCGTTTCTACTCTATGGAGATTATAATCTAACTACAGAAAGAAATAGGTCAACAATTGAGATAAATGTGCCACGATCAACTAAGGGGTGCTTCTCTCTCTCAGTTTACTTACGAAAGCGTGGTTTTCTGTAGAGGCGGTTTGGAATATGTCGATTTTGATTTGCTCCATACAAGAAATTTCAGTTAAAGCTTAAAAATACAGAAAGTCTACTAGACACAGACTAAACAGTTGTTTCTGAATGTATCAGTGTTGAACATAAAGCTGACAAAGGCTTTTTTTTTTTTAAGAAAAAAGTGTGAGTTATTCTGGAAATACCTTTAAGCAAGGCAGTTTTCAGGGGAATTCATGACTGCTTTGGGTTAATGGTCATTGGCTTCATGTTCAGCCCTCAATTAAACTCTGAACTTCAATTGTTATTACTTAATTGACTTGGTTACATTTCATGTCGGCATCTCAAAATGACCTTCCTTTTAAAAAAATAAAAATTACGTTGACGTAGCACCATGGGTCTTTGGCTGAGTGTTGCAGCCCCACACTGTTTTATATATGGTTGGGCCTAGAATTTGCTTAGGTTTGCTATCATTAGGGTACTTCCCATCATCCTTGCCTTTGGAATGAGACAGCTCTAGACAAATCCAAGTGATGCGGGAGAAGGAATGAAAAACGAAACCCATCGGTTCTCGTGATTAAGACGCAAAATAAATCCACAGATATACCCTTGATTCTAAGCCCAGGGAGTTCGTCTGACTAAATACCTTCACTATCACAATTAAATATTATATTATACATATTTTAAGGTGGTACTCTATGTATCTTTTCCTTACAAGGGACTCCCGATGTTCAGTTGTTCCAGTTAACTAGATGAAAGCTTGTCTTCTTTATTTACACATAAAAAAAGAACAAGTTGGATTTACTTAACTCATGAGTTGGGTTTTATATACAGTAAGTGTGACTCAAAAGCTCTAACTGCTGTACTAACTGAAATGAATTAAAGTATCAAGTGAGCATTTCCCCTCTCCCTGTATTGTGGAAAAGTTTTAAAAGTCTTTTTGAAGTACTTTGATCAAGCTTTGAAATCATTTTAGTGGATTACTATTGTATGAAAACTCTAATTTATTGTGCTTGACCTAAGCAGCTCTTTGTCTCACAGCCATTTTCTAAACAATAGCAGGAAAGTGAAAACCACGAGGGGAACCCAAGCTGCACTGGATATTATTTCATAATTCCATCTTCCTTATTTAATCTTTGGAATCCAGGCATGTTCTTAATAAAAGATCATGTTTACTATATATGGGAAGGTTCGCTTGGGGCAATACAATTAGAGGGCCCAGACTTTGTCATGGTCACCCTTCCTTTACCTAAGAGTGACCTTACAGACAGGTTCAGAGAAGTGCTTCTCTATAAATGGTAACATTGTAGGCAGACTCACCATTGTTTGCCCTTTGGTTTCCTCTCGCGTTAAGCTGGCTTTGCTCCTATACCCTGGTCAAGAATGCCCCGGGGTGCCTGGGTGGCTCAGTCGGTTAAGTGCCTGACTCTTGATTTGGGTTCATGTCATGATCTCACGGTTCAAGAGTTTGAGCCCTCATAGGCTCTGCACTGACCGTGCAGAGCCTGCTTGGGATTTTGCCTCCCCCTCTCTCTGACCTTTCCTTGCTTCCTCTCTCAAAAAAAAAAACAAAAAAAAAACAAACAAAAAAAAAAAAACAGCTTAAGAAAAATGTCCCAATTATGGGATTTTCTTCTTCCTTCCCTGTTCTGAGAGGACTTGCTCCCATCAGATCACATGGAAAATGGCAAGCCACTCCCCACCATGCACAAGCTAGGGGGCATTTCTTTAATGAAATCATACAGGCATTTTCCCAATTCGTAAGTTTCATCTGCAGACAGACCACCACCACCACTCAGGCCGGAATGTAGCTGTAAACCTCACAGGTTCTTCTGGCCCCATTAGGCGACATGTCTTGATGGTCTAAACCTCTTATCCTGTTTGACCCTGTAAAATCTTCCCAGAAGTTTTAGGATTCTTCAGGTGTGCCTGCTACCTGCTAACCCCCACCCTGAAGATATCTGGATCAGGAGTCAGATGGGATGCATTGTGATCCAGGGACCATTTTCTGGAGACAAAAAGAATCAAAGAGTAGTGAGAAAATGCAGAATACAGGTCCACATGGAAGGAAACTGGCCAAGGTCAGTGACGGGAGAAAGGACAGGGAGGAGGTGGGTGAAGGAAGTAGCATATGAAAACAGTAAACATTTAAATCCAATGAAACACCATGTCTGTAGTGGGGAGAATGTTAAAAAAGAAGAGACACCTAAGGTATCTCGGTTCCTCAGGGGCCCAGCTAAGTCGGCGGAGCTCTCAGCAAGAGGCGAGTGGAGTAACTGTTCACTTGGGCGCTGTGCGCTCATTAGCGTGGCCCACCAGGGACCATTTAGTGAATGACCTCATCCAGGGCTCTAAGCAATCCCCTTGTGACCTGAGCTAATGCACCCCCTAAAGACCAACAATTTATCATCTTTTCCAGGATGGAATCAAGCCCTGCTAATTATGATCACGAATAGTTATAAGAAAATGGTTTCCCCTGGAGATCTGGCTTTTTGCTTTGGCCACCTAAGCTCTTCCTTTCATATGCGACTTGAGGAGTGCTGAGCATAGTTGACATACACCTCACTAGAAGGCAGATGAAAAAACAACAATTTCACTTTTTTTTTGGGGGGGGGGAAGGGTGTAGTGCACAGAAATAAGGGTGGAAAGGAGTCTATACAGCCACCTTAAATTATCAGTGCTGGATCAGCCCTGCACTGAGCTGATCTCTTGCCACGTTTCACATGGGGTCTCTGTGACAGCAGGTGCTTGGCAAGTCTGTATGCCGGAAAGAACATCATTTCGGTTTACATTGTCCACATACACCTGCTCTTCTGCGGTGGCATAATTCATCACTGCAGTTTGCAGTGATGTTCAACATCTAAAGATGTTGCTTTAATGTTCTAATGACGACAACCATAAAAAAGCATCCTGTCTCCTTTCCAGAGACTTTTTTTTTATTGTCTAAACTTCAAGCACAAACAAGCAAACACATACCGGTATAACACAGAGAAAGATTTCTACCATAAAAGGAAGAAAGGACAAGGATGCTTGGAGTTTCCTATCTGGGAACACTGCTCCCATCTCCCTATACCCTCCCAGCTCAAGAGTATAACAATCGCACTCGTTTCCAGTGCGAAGGCACTTAATTTCGAAACTTGAAAACTTTATCATCACATTTCATTCCCACGTTGAAGGGCTACATTTTAAGACCTCATTCATAAAGAGGAGGTGGTGCCGTTGCCTGATACAGAGAACACCAACACCTTCTCCTAACATACTATGTCAGGCCACCAGGTAGAAGAACCAATATGAAATGCAAGCACCTCTTCTGTTTTTTTTTTTTTTTTTTTTTTTTTGTGCACCCTCATCACAAGTTTGTTTAATGTAAGACCAACAAATCCTTGACAAGGGTTTAACAGGGTTTTCAACATCTGTGCGGATAAATGTAATTTATACCTGAAGAAAACAGCAGTTTAGAGCATGCCATGAAACTGTTTACCAGTTTTTGTTAAGTGTGTGTGTGTGTGTGTGTGTGTGTGTGCGCGCGCGCGCGCGCACGCACACAAGAAGACAACAGCGGTTTTAGGTAATTCTGTGTCACTCACAAACCCTGCATAGTTTTACCCCGAAACAGAAGTCTGCCAGAGACCTCCTTACCATTTCATTCTCTACCTCTTTTGTTTAATACAACCCACAACAGAGTTAAAATGCACACGTCTGGGCCGGATGTGTTTGTGTCCTTCAAAACGAAAGGAAGCTAGGAGTTTTGTTTGTTTGTTTTTTTTTTTTTTGGCAAACCTTCTTAGGTACAAAATGAACAGGGTACACGTGGCATATTTAGGCTTTTGAAAGAAGCAATGTATGTAACAGAGGTGTGTGCAGAAGTTCTACTTGTTACTGTTTCCCAATTTCATCTATTCAAAATTATAAAAGCTATCATGGGTTTCCAACATGGGGCCAAGTATTTTATAAATACATTTTTGTTTTTAAGCTCCCAGAAGATAGGTTTATAAGGAATTTATTTTGCTTTAGATTGAAATTTGGTTAGCAGTGTAAAAATGGAGTAAATTAAAGCAAGCATATACAAAATCCCTTTGATTTGCCTTATGTGGACATCACTCTAGGCTTATTTCTGGTATACTTCAGTCAAAGCTGAACATTTCTAGCACCTAAGTTATCTGTTATGTAACTATTATGTCGCATAAAATGCAGATACAAAGCCGTGCACAGGATGTGCTTGTAAACAATTGTACGCATAAAAATGCCGACTACCACATACACCACCAAGTAGCCGTGTCTAAAAGTACACTTGTGCCCAGGCTGGCACCACCTTTCAATGGTCTCCCTTTAGCTCCAGTCCAAAGAAGGAGTATGGTTTCCAGACACAATATAACCAATACTTTTACATCAGATAAAGGGAAAAATCTTTGGTGTTTAAGTATTAGAAAAAGAGGAAGTTCTCATCAAGTCTATTTTTTCAGCTTGGTTCAATGCCAGGGAAGCAAGGAAACCGTAAAGACTGGACAAAATAAGCAGAGACTACCATCGAGGTCTACTGGAGCCTGGCAAGTGAGGGCAAAAAAATCTCGTTTCGCCTTCCCGATCTTCCACGCTGCTAGGATTGTGCTAGGTTATTCCAGGATGGTAATGCAACACTGGGTACCTGTGAGGGTATGTGAAGAGACACAGGGGAGGTGGGGAGGGAGAAAGAATGAATGGAGGCTTAGGGGAAAATAAAAAAAAAAAATAAGAGGGTGGTTCGGGAACTGGGAGAATTGAAAAATCCCACCTTTCAAGTCTCCACATTTCTTCTTTTGTTCAGTATACAAGCAGAAACCATCCGGAAGGAAGAAAGATTATGACTATCTGTAAACTAACTGTTTGACAGAGACAGAAATGCTGATAATGAGTGGGTTGTGTCTGTAGTTCTTGGCTGTTCACATCAGCAAGGGATGAAGGAAAACAGAAACTCTTGATATGTTTGTCTAAAGAGGTAGTGGCGTGGCCACGGGCAGTCCGAGTTCAGCTCAAGTTCAGGGCAGATGCTGCCAGGAGTTGACACTGCAGCAAAGTAAAATTGCTTCCGGATTCACCTTCTCCTCCCAGCTTCTCTTCCAGGATCATCTGGGTCAAGCTAGGCTATGGCATAAGGTGACAATGTCCGTGGGGAAACAGGCTTTGAGCAGGATACCCCTTTCACGGTTACAGTCCAGCTCCTGGATAAAGCCGTACCAATAGATGACTAAGCCCGGCCCAAATCTGCAAAAACATGAGAAAATAACATGTGTGTATTGGATCAACAGAATTCGAGAATGGTGATCTTTGAAGCATTGCGATGATTTGGAGACATCATTTCACAAAGTTTTTGTTCTGGTTGCTACAATTGTGACCGAGGGCTGAACTTATGGCAATGGGCTTATTTAATAAAAGTTCCACTATGACCTCAGATTTATTCCCTTTCAAGGAACCTCAAGTATTGCAAATACACATGGGACCCTTGTCACCTTGCAGGAAGATGTGCTCAAGATCATCGGGTTGATGGGAGTACCTAACTGATGAAGGATAAAACCAGACTCAACAGTGACAAGTTACTGGTGGGGAGCACCAGACTTGGGATTTTATCTCCTAACGCTCCCTCACCTCCTTGCCTATTTTCAACCAAGGGGAAAACAAAAGGATTTTCTACGTAGCAAGTGGAACAGGCCACGGCCCTCTTCTGGCCACAATGTTCTATGCATGTACCAATGGGGCCAGAAGATTCTTTGGTCATCTACTCTTCCAACTCCATTAAAAAAAAAAAAAATCCAGATGACAACTGGGATTCCTCAGAGAGACCTTATCTCTGACCCTTCATCTCTGCGTATAGCCTAAGTATGAGCACGGCATGAAATTTGGTCATACGTTCTTATGAAGATGGATAATGTCATGTGGACCATGAAGAAGTATAGACAGATGCTGGCTCAAATCCTCAATCTTTCTAAGTTGTGCCTCCACATTATCTCCAATTTGGTTAGTTGCAGACTCAGGAAGTAGCCCTACAGACAACTTCGCCCATCAGGAAGTGGAGACCTCTAGGCTGGGTTCATAAAGATGTAATCACTATCAATCACTGTGCACACAGAGATGTTTTGCCCGTCAGTTTCACCTTTTTCCTACCGAGAGTACTTAATTAAAGGGCAGCCCTACTTTTGGTGTCATGTTGCAGGAATTTTACAGTGACATCGTAAATTATGAATGTTGGGTTAGTAAAAGGGTGTCTAAAAACAGAACTGCTTTCTGTATTCTGACATTACAGCAGGCTGAGCCACGTTAGGCCAAAAAGCTTTTCTCCTTCCGTGATTTATTATATGCTGCAGTGCCCTTGCCAAAACTAATAGTGCAAGATTGGGCTACAAGTACTGTATGCACAGGACCAAGTTCAGTTAGATGTCATGGAACAGTTTATTTGGGGATTCACATCAGTAGGGTAAGTCAAGTTGAATCCAAGATCAATTAAACCTTTTGGACAGAAGGGCAACCCATCTACTGATGAGTGGCTCTGGGGGACCCAGGTGCTGTGTACCACAGTGAGATGGCCTTGCACCACTAGGCTCGAGGGTATTTACCTGCCATGGGGGGCCACCACGGAGAAGCCTGGGAGACCTTACTGCCACTCAACTGAGGGTTTCTTAGCAAGTTGTATTAACAATTGTTTGCAACCGGAACATAGACCATTTGCTATCTCTCTTTTACAAAAGGCTCTGATGAGTATCAAAGGATCTCAGGTTTGTCCGAACAAGTCCAGCAAGGGCAGGAAGATCCGTGATAGTGTGTCTGAGAAGCCTCAAACTTTCCTATCGGACAAGCAGCCCTGAGTCACAGCCTCTACAGACCTAACATGGAGCTCAACACATTCCCCTGCTGTATTACGCAGCCATTCAGGAGACCACGATGTTCTTTAGAAAGGCACTAATATTTTTACAAAGGGAGAGGAAAAAAAAAATGATCTAACCAGTCATGGTAAGAACAAAAGAATATATGGAGGTCATAAACAACAAGCTCAGTATTTTACAGATTTAATAAAACAAAAACACATACCACCTGCACTGAGAGAGCAAGTGCAGCCTGCACTTCCCCTCAACAGCTAAATCATACGCCAAAGGACACGAAGCATGACAGCTCTTTACAAAAATGGCATTTTCCAGGCAGAAAATCCAGGCTGGGGAACACCTCAATGCCCAAGAAAATGGACTGGTTTCACTTGTGAGGCAACAAATGAAATCTCTAACTGGAAAAGGTTTTGAAAGACTGTGAATCTGAACATTTCGTTGTAGTGGTGCACTCCTTGGACTCCCTGAAGGGAGTATAGCGGATCTACAAAGTATTTTCAGTATACAGGAGTAGTGACGCTTCAGAGGACTTTACCATCTATCTAAGCCTTTCTTAGCTTTTGGATAGGATTGTATTCACTTAGGCACTATTAGCCCTCTCGTGGGACTCAAAAGCTCTGACAATAGATGCTTAATTAAAAACAAGGCAACACAACTTCTCTTCGTAAATGGCAATCGGTGGTAAAGGCTGTCCAATTAGGTGTTTTTTGAGTGACCGTGATAATAGGGACTTATCGGGTGACAAATTTGGACACTGAATGTCTGGCCTTGTTCCCAAAACCTACTTTAGTCTATTTCTGAGCTTTCTCCAATAAATTCAGGATCCAGAGATTATCAAATGCTGGCAAGATAACCTCGCAACAGTAAACAACTTTATAGAATCAAGTCCTTGGTTATCTGAACCAACAGAAAGGAACATTTTGGTTGATAATTTGAAAAACCAAGCAATCCAGGTCTAGCATTTCCTTCTGAAAAGGTGTAAACCAAGGAGAACAGGACCCAGGAAGTTTTTATGTAGGTCAAGTACATGCTCGTGGGTTGAGTGATTTCAGCTCTTTGATGCCCGTTCCCATTTACTGCGGCACTGCTAGCCCAGGGGGAGATCACGGGGAGGGCAAACATAACCTTTGTGACCAATAAAAATCAAAGACTGTTAATGCGTCTAAGGGAAAACAGAGTCCCTGGGTCTGAGGGAATGTGCGCCGCAGAGGGCTGGTCTGTTCCTGGGATGGCAGTCCCTCCCTAGAGCCGGAGACATTCTGGAAGGGGACGGGCATGGGTACCTGAATGGACTCTGTAAACGTCTTTCAAGGTTGACTGTAATTTTCATGTTACTATACTCGTGGTCCAGTAAGAAGATCAAAGACTCCATCCAAATGGATTTTAAACACTCTTGTGCTGCAGAGACTAGGAGCCCCAGTGACTTTTAAACAAGTAATTTTGCTTGCAAATAAAATAGTGCCAAATTTGCAACAACAAATCCCTCCTGAAGCAAATGGGAGGTGAAAGTCAAAAGCCCGGAGGGTGTGTATGAAAGATGAAGTTCCTTCTAAGTAACAACAAACTTATACATGTTTGAAATGCATTTCTATGGTTTCCTTCATTGTAGAGGCTTTAGAGAAATTAAGCAGGAGGCTGTGGAGTGAAAGCTGGGGACCCTGTGGTGGCTTGGGGGCACATAGGTCTCCCAGGGATCATTAGTTTCACCATTGGTCTCTGCTACACTGTGACCCGGCTGAGGGCAGAGACCATATATTTATATGCGTGATAATTTTTCAATATCAACCAAAATGTTCCTTTCTGTTGGTTCAGATAACCAAGGACTTGATTCTATCAAGTTGTTCAGTGTGGTCAGCCTCTTCATAAACAGATCGTTGCGAGGTTATCTTGCCAGCACGGTGCCTGCCAGCTCCTCTCAAGGACGGGGTGGAGAACATGAAGCTCCTAATCGGATCAGACAACTTTGTGCTGGTCGCCGAACCAGGGGCAATCTCGAGAGAGGCATGCTGGCAGGGCTCGGCCTTTTTATTAGGGATCAAGCGAAGCACGTGGATGGCATACTTTGGAATCATGGGGATGATATTAACAGTGACCACAACCTTAAATCATTATCACTTTTGGAGCACTTGCTATGTGCTAGACGCTCTTCTCAGGGCAACTCGACAAGGCAGGTGCAATTAATGTCCCCATTCTGCAAATGGAAAAACCAAGGCACTGAGTAATTAGGCAGCTTGCTAAAGGTCTGTAGCTTAAAAAAAAAAAAAAAAAAAAAGTGGAGGAACTGGTTTTGGAGCTCAAGGCAGTCTGGTTGCAGGATCTGTGACTGCCTCACTAGCTGGTAGTGATCAGTCTGTCGTACAGGGTGACATCCTATTAGACTTGAACCAGAGAAAGAGCCCTTTGAACCAGTTAGACCATGCCTAGAGTGGTTTGCAGGGCTGATGTCTAGTTTTAAGAGGGGTATCTCTGGTCTGAAATTGATCCAGAAGAGGAACTCTAAGATAGCTGAAGATCTGTTAGAATGACAGTGTGCATGACGTAGAAATAAGCATGCAGGGGTGGTAACATGCTCACTCACTAGCCTGATTTTTAGAGCACTCCTGGGAAGAAGTGAATAGATTCATGTTGTAGCTCTTGAGCACAGACTTAGGGCCATTGTCCGAAATTTACCAAGAATTGTGTATTCATTCAACCTGAATAAAAATTCTCCTACAGATGTAGCTTTTGAAAACATGGAGTGAGTCTCCTTACCAATGGGGAAATGACATTTCTATGACGGGATCCCCTAAATTGAAGCTGAGCTTTCATCAGTTAAAAAGAAAAAAAAAAAAAAAAGGAGCCAACATAAAAGTTTCTTTATACAAAATCCTGTACCTTCAGCATCTTTTGGGAAATTAGTTGATCTGGCAATCAGCTGGAGCTAAGTAACACCTGCCCCCTTTTGACAAGACCTATGTTCCCAATTTGCTGTCGTCCCTACCATTCGCTGTTAGTCGTCGCTGATGTTGAGGCTCCACCCCAGGTTCCATTTAGCCTTGTGCTTGTGCTCTAGACTTTAATTGTAGAGACTCATTTCTCCATACTCTTCTCTCTCAAATTTGGGAAAAGATAACTTCATGTTTCAGGAAAGAAATGGAAGGGGACGGACACCTGGGTGGCTCCATTGGTTGAGTGTCCAACTTCAGCTCAGGTCACGATCTCAGTGTTTGTGAGTGCGAGCCCCACATCCAACTCTGTGCCGACAGCTCAGAGCCTGGAGCCTGCTTCAGATTCTGGGTCTCCCTCTCTCTCTACCCATCCCCGACTCTTGCTCACTTGCCTTCGCTTGCTCTCTCTCAAAAATAAACATTAAAAAAACTTTTAAGGAATGGAAGAAGCCACATTTCTTAT